TGAAAATAAAATCCTCTAGAACATTCTTCAAGTTCTTGGTAAAAATTATGCAGCATTTCACCTGTCTCAAAAACTGATCTATTATACAAAAAGAGTTTGAAATAACTATATCTTGAACTTCTGTTTCTTAAATCGTAGGTTTTCTCCAGTAATGGTGAGAGCAGAGAGCTTCCTAGAGCATTTCATGAGAAGAGCCCCTAGCAGGAAGTTAACAGAAAACCTTCAGGAGATTAAACTAGGTTCTCAGCAAGTATAAATTTTGCCATTGCAGTGAGTTGATTCAGTTAATATTGATGAAGATTTTAGTAAAGTTTTAGAAACCCCAAGTTTCTTCTCCAAGACTGTTCTTTGGTTCCTGTTCATATGGCAGATTCCCAATATTGGCAAGTTCTTGTTAGGGCAAAATTTGAGGGAATAGCAACAACACCATGGCTGAAGAGAAGGCAAAATGTCGTTGTATAGAGTAGCACAAAAGTTAGGGTAAAGACTACATAATAAATCATTATTCATGTATCACTCAGACTCATTGAGGTAGGAAGAGATCTCTGAAGTCATCTTGTCCACGCACATCCTGTCCAAGCAGGGCCACCTAGAGCTGCTTGCCTAGAGTCGTGTCCAGATAGCTTTTGAGTAACTGCAAGGACAGACTCCACAACCTCATCAGACAGCATGCACCAGTGCATGGGGTTGTTCCTCCCCACGGGCAGGACTTTGCACTTCTCTGTGTTTAACTTTGTTGAATACATATTAACAGAAGCCCGTGAAGGAGACAGATCAATAGAGAAGAGCAGGAGAAGCAGGACCTGTGGGATTAAGGAGTGATATCCAAGTAGAATGCTACAGCAGTGGTGACCACCAGCTGCAGTGTGAGACAAGCAGAGAACAAAACCTGTGAGGAGGGGCTTGAGAAGCCACGGGGAAATATAAAGTGAGAGAGATAGGAAACCCACTTGAAAAGGAAACTGTAACAACACTTTCTGTCCAACTGACAATAGGTAATTGTCATAAGAAGTGAAATACAGAGCTTTAGTCACTTAGTTTTCTAGGATAAACAAGTGGAAAAGAACAAATTCAGAAGCCGTGACACTAAATTTCAACACAACTATAATCCTCCACACTCCGAATCCACAAATTTGCTTCATCCTTAGACATAAATAGGCAAATCTGAGATAACAGATATTGTCTGAACTACTCATGTCTGAATGAGTACTTCAGAGTCAGAAGAATTTGTTTTTAATGTAATCCACAGCAGCATGGCCAAGACCACCTAAAAGTCTCTGCCTTCTTAGTGGTCACAGTATATTGCAGATTCAGTGGGTATATTGGGTGGTAGGCCAAAGCATTTCAAAGCACTGGTCACTCTTTTATGTTTGTTTGGTTGCTGGTTTTTTTTTTTTTTTTAATGAAGATCTGGAGTACAGAATAAGAAAAAAACCCACTTTGCAGTTTATACACTTTTATATTAATTGAGCCTCCCCAGTTACACTGCGGCTTTATCCTCAAAATTGTCTCTTTTACTAAAAAAATCACATGTATCTTACAAAAGTAATGTATATTATTTTGATCGATCTCTGTAGTGATTGAACATCAAATACAAAATGCAACTTAAAACATACATCTACAATACCAGAGTCTCAAAATGGTACTTTGATTGGTCATTGAAACATGAGGGGAAAAAATGGAAGCCAAGTTCAAGACCTAAGTTTAAGTGACAGAAGTAGCAGTGACATTAGGTTTCACTCTACCTTTAAGGAAGCAACTAAAAATACTTAAATTTTGCAACTCAGTATGACAGTAACCATAGACCTGTCTTCAAAACCACTGGATTGATCTGTGTTGACTTTTGTCTATAGACAATGACACAGTATTTTTCTCTGGTGTTTCAAAAATTGCAAAAGGTTAAAACTTGTTAAAAATTGCAAAAGGTTAAAACTTGTTAATAGAATTTGAACAGGACATCAGGGTAAAGGCTGAACAAAAATAAAAAGGGACACAGTGAGCTAAAGCTATTTGGTAACATATACAGGTTTTAACTATTTCAGAAATAATAAGCAAAACAAATCCTTTTTGTTTCAATAATAATAGGTTATGGGTTTCCTTAAAGAATTACTCGTATTGTTGCACCAGAGGCCTCTTTTGTCTTCAGAGCCATGGCAGGTCTGGAGCCAGTCTGTGTGCCTGCAAATTTTTCCTCTAGCTAAAGGAAAGAAGGAGCAGACAACACCAGAAAGCACTTGCTAGCTCCAAACAGAGAATCCAGAACTATCAAAGCACTTGGTTCATGCTGCTTTGTTTCTGTCAGCACAGGATATAAAAGCATCTTTGGCGGTATGTTTTGATAACAGAAATGAGTACCTTGTCATGCTTTAAATCAGCAGCTGAAAGGCTTCTTAAGTGAACGTGACAGTATTTGAAATGTCCCATGCTGCCACACTTAAGATACGCCAATCACAATTAATAGCAACAGATTTGGTATTCCAAAACAAATAAAACCCGCAGAGTTTTTCTGCTAAATGAAGAGCTGATGAGAGAAAACAGAGGCAAAATTACGACAATAGTCAGTTACTCTGTCAATGAAAATTAGTTTCATTTGTCTGTATTCACAAGGGTTAGTAAACAATAATGCTTCAGCTAATATAGTTTTTGTTATATTCAAATTGAATGTGAAATACAGGCTGACATTATAAATGGATCTCTTGCTCTTTTACACTGGATTTCTGAGATCTTCTAAGCTCTTATGTTTAAATCGGTCTGTAAGTTTCATACATTTTCATATCAATTGATTACTAAATGTCTTTCAATTTTCCTTCTAGAAAATTAAGGACAGTACTGGGTGTTGTTTGAAGGAGAGATGTATCTATCACTTTCCCTCACTCAGTAGAAGCCGAGGGAATGTTTTATATTATTCTAGTGGATTCTATAGAGATGTGTTGAAAATCCACTCTGTAGGGTGGTAAGATCTCTCTCTCTCTGTAAATAATTAATCTCACCCTCCAAGGTCTGTGAATTTCTTTTTCTGAAGTCCTACAACAGTTTCTGTGCTCCCAGATGCCATGTACCACTAGCAGGTTTTAATAATGAGTTGCACCTCATGTCCCTCTTACCACAAGAAGTGGATGCAGATTTCCGTAAATAAATTCTTTTTATTTCCCTTTTTTCCTTTTCTATTGAATTCTGCTTTTTTTTGTCACCTGATCCCACTTACTTTCATCTAACTTCTTCCTCAACTTCATGCTGAATTCATTTCCCTCTAAGCCCTCCTTAAGCAGTCATTTTCATTGACTGGTCTAAAACCCCTTTTCTTTGTAAGCTGAGAATGTATTGAAGGGCTCCCTTATGGGCTGCTAGTCTGGATCTATTACTTAGGTGACTTCAGGACACCAAGCAACACAGGTTTACTTGGATAAACATAAGGCAAACAATTCGGATAAGAATTGCTCAGATTCAAGTGTGTGATTAAACCAGCTTTGCCTCCTTTAAACCTTTGCTGGGTAGTCTCCTATAAAGCTTTTTGGGACTAATGTTGGGATTACAGCAGGGATGCTAAGGCTAATAAACCTATATAAAATGACTCGCATTCATGCAGTAAAGAAACTAATTCACAAGTTCTAACCTCACAGGAAGACAGATGTAAGAAGTCTCGTTCTGTAACAGACCAACTGCTGTCTCACAGTTGGATTCCCTAAACAGCTACACTGGGAATATTTTGGACAGAAAGAAAACTTTATAAACCCACCCACATACATTCAAAAAACTTCTGTAGCTCTCAGTTGGCTCTTAAGTCTTTGGTCATATTAAAAAAAAAATTCACAACAAACATGAAACAATCTCTTCAGCTTTCCTCAGCTGGTCATCAGTGCTCAATGCAAGAGATAATTTCAAAAGTTTTGTCTCTAGGTTTATGTGAAAAGCCTCAGCTTCAGCTTTTCTTCCTTCTTTTGGACATTACTTTAGCTTTTTTACCATTTTAGGAGTTTCATACTTGATTTTCATGGATACCTTTAGCTTTTAGGATGTCATCTGATTGTTTCTAACAGAGAACAATGTAATTCTAAATTACATGTTGCTGGTGTTACATAAATATGGTACCTTTACCATTCCATCCAAATTCATGTTAAAATCAAAAAATAATCTGGGAGTTTTGAAGCTGCAGTGGCCATGACTCTTTGTAGAGCAGATGCTCCTTGCAATTACAAATAGGTGTACCTGCAGAGCCAGTATTGACTGAGGAACAAATACATGGATAAGCCAGAAGGTATTCGTTCTGTTTTGTTGTCAAGGTTTATTATCTAAATCTTCTTTGCTTTTATATTAAGCTGTGTTTTCTTATTCCATTTTGCATTACAACCGTAACTTGCAGACCAGAATTCTAAGTAGTATATACACAGCCAAGATCTGAAGGCCCTGATGTATTTAGGATGCATGTTTAAAGTTCTGCCAGAAGAAGTAGATTGTGAAGGACTTGGGAATATAAGCAGAATTGGGGAACACCCTGGGCTACACCAGATGCTAGAGAGGATTGAGAAAGCAGTCAGGAAGGCCAAAGAAGCTGGAGTCTAAACATTATACAAGAAAACTGAAATAAATCAGAAGCGGGATGACAGAATATCAGGTACAATCAGACCATTTAGCAATGGTGACAAGTCTAGTTCAAAATCCAAATGCTAGGGCATTTTCTATCTGACTGTGTAAGAACATAGCACTCATTAACAATGAATAATTCTCCAGCAGATGATGAGAAATACCTTTTCTTTTTTTACCCAGAGAAAAATCACCTTTCTTTAATGACACAACAACAAACCACAACAAGCTAGCAGTAGTGCCCTGAACTTCTCATGATTCCCACACTCGGGCAGTGAAATATCTAGGAAACCTTTTAGCACAAGTGCTCCTGTTCCTTGTGGGCTGTGGGAGGGAGATAGGGAAAAGGAAGGTCTCTATAGCAATGGAGAGGGTATACAGGTTTTCTCTTGGAGGCAGAGTCTCCCTCTGTCTCTTACCTTGTTGCACAAAGGATCCATACACAAACCACATGGAGTTGTAGAGAGTTGTAGATGTCATGGATCCCATCTGAAGGCGTGGGGGGTTGAGCCAATTCAAGAGGTAGACCAGTAGCCCTACTAAGAGCACAGTGCCAGCAATGCATGCCCACAGGGAGAGGTCAAATGGTGCCAAGCAGGCAAACATGTCCACTGTCTTCTCTGCCTTCCGAAGCAGCACGCCCACCGAGTAGTCCATGTAACGCGTTGTGAAGTCCACCACATTCTCCCTGTCAGGGGTGATGGTTAGGGCAGAGATCCCTATATCAGCTCTCTGAGGAGAGGGAGAGAGAACAACATGCATAAGTAGGAGCTACAGAAAAGATCTTTATTCCTCTGTGATTTATAGCAGCTAAACTTATGGCGAAGCAGAAGCCAAGATCAACGTCTTCAGCATCATATATGTGAGCACAGAAACATGACTAAGGCTTGAACAGAGTAGATATACCATGTGTCTCAGTTTCTGCAAGCAAACCTCACTTGGTGGACTCTGGCACATCAGCTATCCATGTTTTTATTTTCCAAGAAATCAAAATACTACAAATACAGGTAATACCTGAAAGAAATCCACTTTTGGTCATTTTTGTCACTCTGGCTTGCTAAAGCCATCAATGCAATTGTTGCAAAAGGCAGATTTTGTGTATAGCAGACCCAATCAGAGGAAATTAGTTGCCCGATAAAGCCATATCGTATCCAATATTTTGATGATCTGATGATCATGACAAAGGGATACTACACTAGGAGCACTTGAAATACCGTAAAACATCAATTTCGTCTGCAAAGTCTAAAGTGCAGAAGAGCAGATACTGCATGCAGTTCCTTTACTATTTATTCCTCTATATCCTCCTGACAAGCAATTTCTCCAGCAATGCCAACCTGTCCTGCAGCTACCTTCGACTTGCTTTGTGCCACTTACGTTTTTTGTGTAATTTAAAGAATCCATTTCTGATGAAAAGAGAATGAATAATATTCCTTGATCTAATCATAGTATTTCACAGCATGTATTAGATCTCCAGAGACACCAGGCACAATTACAGCAGGTACTACTTTACTTTTCATGGGTACAATTAGAAGTGCAGTGAAAACAAGAAAGGTTATTTAAAGCAGACACATGGATACCATTTTAAAAAGCTCAAATACGGAGCAATAAGACTGTGAATTCTAGATATTTTAATATGAAAAAGAGTACTTAAAATATTTAAACTGCTACTACTGTGACTTAATCCCTTTTTGTTCTGCCTAAAGCAGTGTGGTCCTTTGGAAAGGGGTGAGGAGAGCACAGAGGCTTGAAAGTCAAATTTTACTAACTCTCTTGAATTTCTTTCCTCTAGCCCAAAGAAGACAGAGATTACTAGTTCCTTAGAAATGTGATACGAAATACTGAATGGGAAGGTATGGCGGCTAAAACTGATTAGAAAAATTTGTAAATCAACTGGGCCATTTTAATGTGATGAGCAGAACACTGCAGCCCATAGTAAAAACATACTTCTAATCACAGTGCACATAAGATTTCAGTTTAAATGATGTTAATTTAAATTTATATTGATTGTTCATCGGATTGAGAAAGTGGCAGGAGATAGCTGGAGGCCTGATGATTTGGACAAAAAAGTGTTTGAAAATATTGATTTGCTTAAAAGCTATGAATTAGAGCTTCAGCTTTAATTTGTGTGTTATAAGCGTCATAAGTGAAGTTTTGATGATGAGCACAGCTGAAAGTATGCCTTCATGAAGTCACTTCATGTCCCTTCCTAACACATTTTTGTGAGTGATGATTTAACTGTCCTTTGCCCATGGGCAGCAGCAAACTCAGTCAGTAATTAGAATTGTCCATGGAAACATTCAGGTTATTTGAGTCTCTATCCTCTCATGATAAAACTTCTGGTCTACGAGTGACTCTAGTGATTCACAGTATCTGTTAACTGTCAAGTCTGAGTTCCAATAAGAAAATGTAAAGCAGTCAGCATTTGAACTGTTTTCCACAACTGTGACTTTAAGTATGTTTTAAAATAATTTACAAATGTAAAAGTCCAATAATTGTCGAACAGGAAATTATTATTGAATAGCATTGGTTTGGTTTTTTTCCGCTGAATGTATATCAAAAAGCAAAATGGGAATTCAGGATTAAAAGAGGGTATATGGAAACAAAAAGTCCTAGACTATTTGTTTGCTATTTTCTCCTTAAGTTTAGCTGGGTATCAACTGTCAGCATGTTACTAAAATATTTCCCTACTGCACTAGATCACTGTGAGTTGCTAAATCAAGTTGCATTGTTGTAAGATGCTTAAAGATTCTCCACTGACAAGCAACATACACAAGATACTTTTACCAAATAATAGTTCACTGTATGACTAATAGAATTTTTTTCTGCTTCCTCCCCGCCTTTTACAGTGAAACATATTTTTTTCCCATAAAATACATTGACAGGCATTGCATGAAAAAAACAGACCATATGATATTTATGGAAATACTACTTCTAATTTGCATCTCTGGGAAGCAGTCTCTCTAAATTCCCTGGCATTATGGTTCCACTCTGGTTATCAGCCAACAATGACAGTGGAACAATATTGTCCTAAGGGAAATGTTGCATTTCCTTTGTTATATTGCAGCAACAATAGTGATATAATTATGTCTTGCTACTTTATATGTTACATATATAATTAAGGTTTTGAGATGACGTAATTGCAGCCTTCCAGTACCTGAAGGGAACCTACAAGAAAGATGGAGTGACAGGACAAGGGGGAATGGCTTCAAACTGAGAGAGAGTACTCCTCAGTAGTACTTAGCACTCCTGTGTTCAGTTGTTAAAGAAAAAAAAGCTACACTGAAATACGACAACTCATATTCCTAACTTATTAAATTGGATCATAAACACCAGTGTACCAGAAAACTATATGTCTAGCACAAAACCAAGCTTAAGCTTCACTTGATATTTGATTTACTGATGGTGAGCATTCTTGATTACATATAGATCTGTCAACTTGTTTCAAAATTGGAAGATGAAAAAAATATTAAATGCTTGTCATTAACATGTCACATTGGATCAGAGAAGACATCAGTCTGAAGAAGTAAAGGTTCACTTAGTGCTTCTGAGATAGAAAGGCAAATGCATGCAATTATGTCAATATTTAGATATAAACCTGCCAATCTGAATTATAAACATGTATAGCTCTTCACTCACTAAGTTTTTACAGTGCCAAAATCAACCAACTATCGTATGTCTTACACGTTTCTCATGAATGAAGCTATGACTTTTGAAATTGATTGAAAAAACAGCAGAGGGCATTGTTTTGCTCTGTGCGACCTGCTGAGGAATTTATATTTATCTTCCTCAGCAGCCGTTCTCCTGTGGCCATTGTAGAGCAACATTACCAGAATCAGAAAATCCAAAAGAAATGACCAAATGGGTCTGATAGCATTGTTACTGGTGTCAGAGAACGAGCTTATCAGCAAAATCAAAAATTCCTGAAACATCCCTAAGCTAGTGCTTAAGCAAGCACATCTCGTACATACAGAAAACAATCTTCTGATGATTCCTGTAATTCATGATCAAGAACAGGGAAAATAAATGAATCTACTCTAAATTTATCCTGTGAGGCCCTTCATTTTATCCATTTTCAATGTTAAATCAAGTTTCAACAAGTGCTAGAAGCAATAAACCACAGTCCCACATGTTACACAGTTACTAATACGGACACACAAAAACTAATCAGAGAGACGTTGTTACTCAAGTTAACACACATACATCCAAATAAAAATCCTTTTACTCAGATATGATTTTTTTTTCTCAATTTGTTCTCTCAATATGCTTGCTTCCTTTTTATGCTACTCCCCTTACTAAGGTGCAATAGAAAAACAGCCTCATAAGAGGCTTCCACTTGGTTTTTTTCTGTTTGGATGGACCTAAGTGGAATCAGGAAGTTTTCCCTATGCTGTTTGCTCCCTGAGGGTTCTTCCCTGGAAAAAAATCCTAGCAATCAAGCTAGCATGGTGAAATGTAGAAAGTCCAGAGTTGTGCTGGAAAGCCTACTGTTCTTTCCCAGAAGTGGCACTAGTGACTTCTCTTGCCTGTCAGTCACACAGGTTTATCCATTAGGCAATGTGGAGAGAGGGCAACTAAAGGAATTACTGCAAAAAGACACAGATAATTAACAGTTAGAGAAAGATTTGTGGTAAAGTGCTGCTCCTTTGAGATGGTTTTAGCCTCTCTACAAAAAGCTGCTGCTCTCTGAGCTAATTCTGCTGGTGAGATGAAGCTCTACAGGATGCAGTGAGAACCCTGGTCATTGGACAGGAGAGGGAAAAGAGCACCACGTGCTTCTCTCAAGAAGCATTTATTCTCTGAAGACGACCTGGATCAGGTGCTTAGCAAACAGAAAGCTTTACATGGCATGGCTACTTTCAGTTTATTTTGACAAGAAAAAGTGTATGGACCAAGTGTGTACCTACTATTGGTCTTGACAATCAAAGAAGGAAAGGCTTGAATCAGTTTCCAAGTTCAAATTAAATACCAGTTGCTTTGTTCTACTGATTCCAGTTCCTACTTAAACAGCCAACAGAAACCTTGTCTTCCAAGTTGAAACAGGGTGAACTTGGCATAATGTCATGTCTGCAAAGCCAGCTGTAGACCCAGGGCATGTACTTGGCACAGCTGGGCTTCTACCCTGCCATCCAACTCAAGCAGGGCTGCTGCAAACAAGTTCAGCCTGGGACTGCTCTCACTGACACCAGAGACTGCTGCATGCTGAATATGGTTAATGCAAACAGTATATATTGACCTTGAACACAGAAATCATTTGCTTGTTACAGAAATTGCTATTTCATATGGCACATCCTCTGTAGTGGCCACAGACACCTTTCTCAATGAGATGCTCTCTACAATTGCCCTCTACAAGTACCTGAAAGGAGGTTGTAGTAAGGTGGGGTTCGATCTCTTCTCTAAAGTAACAAGCAACAGGACAAGAGCAAATGGCCTCAAGCTGTGCTAGTTTTAGATTGGGTATTAGGAAAACTTTATTCATTGAAGAGGTGAGCAAACACTGGAACAGGCTACTCAGGGAAGTGGTTGAGTCACCCACCCTGGAGGTATTTAAAAGGCAAGTAGATGTGGCACTTTGGGACATGATTTTGGGATGGACTTGGCAATGCTGGGTTAACAGTGGGACTGGATGACCTTAAAGGTCTTTTCTGATCTGAACGGTTCTATGATTCTATGCACACAAAAAGAGAAGGCAGCTATTTGTCATTACCTTAAGTGAGATTTGTCTTTTGCAGAACTCATTTCTGGCTGACACACTAACAGGCAAAGAGCACTCCCACCGTTTCTGGAATTCCTCTACTTGTTGGCCAGACTATCTTGGTTGGGAAAACAAGGAAACACTGTGTTTCAAACAGGTTAGACCTTTCACTTAAAACTATTCTCTGCTCTTTTGCTTCCCCTTATAAAGTTGCCAAGCAGATAGATATTTGAGTTCTGAGAGCAGAACTCAGTTCACAGTAAATAAGAAAGCCGCCTTTAAAGAACAGCTTGCACTTGGTAAGGGGTAGATATACACTGGCTGCTCGCCCAGAGGTTGTCTTTTGCCTTTAGAGGGACAGAGAATGGGAGAGAAGGACACAGTGAACTTTACTGTTAATTAATTCTCTAAGGGTAAGGAAGATGAAAAATGATACAATGACATAGCATTGGGAAAACACAGTTTTTGAATTCCAAATGCAGTTCCATTAACTCTTCATACTTTGTAACCATACAGAAAGATTTCATATTCATTAAGACTCATTTACAGAAAAACCAGACCAGATTACAGCAAAATCAGACCAGAATGGTCAATCTGTTGCACTCATGACACTGATTTACAGATCTGGGTGGTTACTACCATAAGCAAGCTACTAGCATTATTTGAATCCCTATCTACCAAGAGGACAAGAATGCCATACATATTTTTCCAGTCAGCTGTTTCAATTGTTATGAGTTTTGCCTTGTCAATCATTCATTGCAAATAAATAAAAAAAACATTCTAGGTCCACTTTCCTTTCCAGAGCCATCTAGGACTAAGATGCCTCTTAGCTTGTAGACTCATACAGTGACCTGCTGAGTACTGTAGACCATAGGCTGTAGTATAACATCAGATTTAGGAGCAGAAAAAATGGTTAAAAATAAATCAGTGGATCATTGTGGTGTTACATCTCCTAATTAGATGAGGGATTTTTAGTTTTAAAGTTTAGAAGATGAAGGAAAATACACTTTTCCAAGTGTTTCCAGCTTACCATCTACACAATTACACAATTCCACCTTCCAGCTTCACAAGAACTTAAGGAGATGGCAAAGGAAGTTTATTACTACAGTGTAGATATATGAAATGTGCCATGGGTAAAGATTCCTGCTGCTCAGGAAGGTAGAACAGGTTAAACTTATCACAGATTTTTAACCCATGGGGATAATACTTTTTTTTTTTTTAAATTTTTTTTTCCGGCATTTTGCTGACTTTCAGCTGGGTCCTGTATCTGACCGTTTTGCTCCTTACTGTTTGCTGTGCTTATCAATTAAATTCCACCTGCAGGTTTGGAAAAACACTTCTATAACCAATGAGTAAGTTATTTACATGAATATCTACTGCAGTTATTTAAAGAAACAAAACAAATGTAGGCCTTTATAACTGTAAAAGCTGCCTCTCCATGTTAACTAAGAGCAAATAAAATACATATACTCATGGTACAAATGAGGCACCAGCAGAATAGAGTCTGCCTAACATTTTCTCTCTCAATGGGAGAAACTGCAAGCAGATAGGATGTGAAGAGTGGGAAAAAAAAAAGGAAAAACATTGCATATGAATTTGATTTAATTTATTTATGACCTAATATCGAACATTTAATGTAAAATTAAGTAGACTAAATGGTTTATTAATGACAGAATAGAGAATATATTACTCTTATTCATACATATACATAATGTCTTATTATATATCAATAAAACATTTTCTGTTGATTATATACTTTATGTATTCATCACCCCAACATTTTTCTAAGTGTTATACATTATTTATGTAATGTATTGCTAATTACTGCAACACCAATTCTTCCTCTTTTGAACAGCCTCTTCAACTCATTTGTGTTAGGTCTTGCCAAATTAATTAGGATGCTGTGCATCCCATTATTTGACTGCATTTAGAATTTACTTTGGATGGAAAAAAGAGATTGCCTTGATTCTTATACAGTTACTAGCAAGTGCTATTTCCAGCTTTTTCTTTACTGCTCAATGCACACTGTGAAATGCTGGCAACATGCAATGTACAAAATGCTATCAATGACTCATATATCAATGGCTGATAGAAACACAATATTACCATGTCTTGCTTAGCTTATCATATGACCTTACTTAGTAAGTTATTAATAACCTTACCTTAAATACCAGTTCTCCTATCAGTCCGTTCCATGATCCATCATCCTGAGGACTCCCATATTTGTGATCCGGTGCAACATAAATTTCATACTTAAAGCCGAGGTAAGTAGCCAAGGCTTCCAACACGTCTATTGAGAAGCCCTGATACTTCTTGGGTTTTCCCAGAACATTTTCAGACACCATGACAAAGGGCTCTTCCTAAAAAGAAAACAAAGTTGGAAACTGTTAATAGAGCAATTACATGCCACATTTAGGTGCTGAGGATTTTTTTAAACTAAAGGAGGAACTATTCAAATATCATTTACACAAAGCTTTCCTACAACACATTGTTAGCAGTGCTGCTCGTATTTTGTGGAATGTTATTTTGTTATGGATGTACTTCAATAGAGAAATTTTATTCTCTATTATGTATTTCAGAAGTAAATCTTCTGCTGTAACTTTACAACTGAAATGCTTTTTTGTAATGCCTTCTGACCACACTTATGGTTGGCAGGACAGACATACACTCAATGTTGGGCCATAAATATGGAGGATTCTACAGCGCTGCCATCTTCCACTGGCTGGGCAAACACTGTATGTAGCATAACCACTCATTCATGTTGTATAGAACAAAAACATGGCAAAAAGGAAATACAGAAGAACATTGCTCTTTTCCTCTCCTGTAATGTGAATCTTGTAAACAGTTCTACCCAAAGAGAATCCATTTGATTAGTTTAGGGACAGTCAATTATGGGAGCCAAGTTTGTCTATAAGAATGATTGATGAATATTTATCCAAGAGATTACCATAATAAAGGATACAAATAGATACTGAAAGCTGTAATTCGTTGGTCAGATTTCCAAACAACATGCTTTTCTTTTTATTTTCCTCAAGATCTGTAATAGTTTTCTCTATTTTGTTGTTAATATTTCTCATAAAATTTCCACCACTGTTATTTTTTCTATTGCATAATTATCCCTAGACACTCTCCTTCACTTCTTTTTTAAATGATACACAAAAAGAGATCATATTTCTAAGCACAAAAACATAAATTTGCCATGGGTGAATTTCACTTCTCTTTATTTTCTCTGAAAACACATCTGATCAAAGTAGAGCAAAAGTATTAAATCTTCCCCAAAAGCATGAAGGCACCGTAACACTTAGGTGTATTTTTTTTTAAATATGCTTCATTTCATCCTTTCAATTCTTTACATGATGCTGTAATTTCGTATGAGTTTATCAGAAACATCTATTCTGAGGTGAAAAAAGGTTAGTTCTGACTTGTCATGGCTTGGCCAAGACAAGTACATGAAACTACTCCTTGACCACTTTATTCTAATCTGCAAACCCCACAAACATACAGAAGAAAACAACTGATTTTTTTGCAGTATTTGTGGTCCAAACTTTAATTGCATCTCAAGTGGCATTTTTGTTGGTGTTTAAATTATTTATTTCTTTATTACTCTATTAATCATCTCTGTCGAAGACTTTGAAGCCAAACTACTTTTCATAAATTTTTCACTAATACTATACCTCACTAATATGTTCAGTTTGTTGGAATGTCCTTCTATATGAAGAGGTATCACTGAATTGCAGGCAGGATGTTCTCAGAATAAGACTGTACTGGAATGATGTTCTTTTTTGACTGCAGGAAATCCAGAAAAAAACCCAACCCCAAACAAACCCCAAACCAACCAACTAACCCCCACCCCAACCACAAAAAAAACCCCAAAACAAATAACAAAAAACCCAAACAAAAAAACAGAAGGTGTGACTGTCTCAAGTTATTATTTCCTAGTTGTCAGATAGAATTGCTTTCTTTCATATTATCCAAGATCATTGAAATTGACTGAAAATGAAGGAGAGCAAATGCAAATTAATTTTTTTTATTTTTCCAGTGCCCAGGTTCTAGGAACATTGAAGGAATTGAGACTAAGTTGACGAAAGCTTCTCCTAAATGAAAATGCGGAGTGAATTCACCTTTGCTGATCACCTGAATGAGATATTCCATAAATATAGACTCTAAATTACTGGAAAGAAATTTTTCTGCAAAAAATAAATATGGTAGCTTATCAATCTAAACACACTATGCACAAAATTCTGAAGATTTGCATACAAAGAATGTTTTAGAAGTTGATAATTTTCATATTAGAAAGGATTAATTTCTATCACTTCTACTTTTTTTAGAAAATAGTTGCTCATAAACTGATTTTCTATTCAGTTAGTTAAAAAAGCAATTGCTCATTTTACTGATGTAAAACGCTGTTTAAAATGCAGTTTGCCACAACTAATACAGTCTTTTATTAAGCTATGTAATATTGTTTGCTGTTGAGAGATTTACCAAAAAACCTCAATGTCCAGTGTTCTGTATATAATGAAATATAAATAGTCAATCAACTTAATGCAAAGCAACTAACTTTCCAATTTCTGTTGAAGCTTGGAGCAGAAAACTATTTAATCATATTCCAAACAAACCAAAACCAATCTACTGCTATGATTTCTTTTTTTGTGTGTGTGTAATTGTTTATATTTCTCAGAAGGCATCAAAAGACGATAAAATTATTTGTCTTGATTTTTCCCTCCGTAAACGTTACAGGCTGAAACTATGCCAGTTGTCCTATTTTTTGCACTGGAAGGGTACTATGGGAGCTCCTACAGTTTTGCAAGATGGATGATTTGCCTCACTGGACCCCATAGGCATCTGATATATTTAGGGGGTGGTTTTGTATCCAACATCAATGGAGATCCTTTAAGAGAGGAGCTACTTTCGTTCAACTTCACCTCCAACATGCCTCCTTGTCACCTGAACGCAGCACTACTAGGCCCACGGTAAATGTTCCTTCTCAAAATAGCTCCACAGTTATCACTGTCTGGTTTGGTTTTGGGATCTAAGCTGTGCTGCCCTGACACGAAGGAGGATGGGTTTAAGACTGGATGGGTTTTACACAGTATTGTGTGTTAACCCTTGTGGACAGCTAAGCACCACACAGGCAATACTACCTTCAGCAAAATGCAAGTCAGCGGGAAACAGGTAAAGTTTGTGTTGGGTGAAGCTGTGCATATTGCCTTTTACAGCTGTAAGTGGACAAAGTTGGGTTTCAGAGGCGATTGTCCCCCTGAGCAAGAGAAACTACAAAATGCTAGCAGACTAGCACACCTTAGGAAGGCTAAAGGGAGACCCAAGACTAAGGTAACATGACATTAAAAAAAGGGAAAGTGTTGGGAAAGATCACATGATAGTACAAGTAATTTGGAGAAGTAGCCCAAGAAAATATTTGTCTCCATTCATTTGCTTATTATTACACGTTTTAAGGAAGAAGCCATACATTAAGACTGACACAGGTTAACAACATGCTACATATTAAAACTGTATATAATTTAACAGCCTCCTCCCATGTGAGCAACTAATTACCTTCTTAGGCAATAGCTCAGCTGATTCTTGGCTCTTTTATTCAAGTAGTTCTACTACTCAGCCATTACAAATACTCAGTTTTTGTCACGTGAGTTGGTCCAGACAGATGTCAGAGCCAGGACAAGTGCTGGAGTAAGACCGCAAAAGCAGAAGTGAGGGAAGCACAAATAATATACCCTTTATGGTATTGGGAATGATTAAGCAGCTCAGATATCTTACTCAAAGCTATTTTCAGATATTCAACACAATATTATTTGAGCACATTTCACAGATTAGGGCTTATAACTGAACTACTAGTTGAGTAAGAAGAGTTATCACCACCATTTTCTTCCTGCAGAACTGAAATACACAGATTTCATGACTTGCAGAGCTGAAAGTGACCTGATGGGTCAGGGACAAATGCTTTAACCATAGGCTGTTTTCCCTCTATCTTATTTTAATTCATTAAAACATTTGTTCTTACATATGTATCTATGTTCTGGTGAACCATGAGTGTAAGAGCAGGAAAACCAATAGTGGAAAGCATGAAGAAGAAAGAACAAAGGAAGGTGGGATCCAAAAACGAGGTGTCTAGGCCTAGGGAGAGAAAAGTCTTACTCTCGAAAGGACTTCTTGCCAGGGTAAAACTGCAAGTGGACAACAGAGATTTTAGGGTGCCCTAGTCCAGGGAGAAATGATAGCAGGGAAACATAGGCACAAGAAGGAAGGTAACACGTCCAAACTCCAGCCCTCAACCCCTGTCCTGAACTTCACATAGTGGGAAGTAAATGGCAGAGAATTTATTTTGTTTTATTTTAAATGTATCAGTGGAAATCAGAGATTGATAGTACAGAGCTTGGAGCAGTCTAGATTAAAGATAAGTAGAAGGAAATTCTGCACTTCATTGCTTTTTCCAACAAGATAAAGGGCTAACAATTTTGCCTATTCAGGACTTAGGTTCTGGTGCATATACAAATGAAGTAATTCAAGATTTGGTAGTGCTTCAAGAATCTAAGATTAGGAGTACAAAATACAGTTTTTATTTAGTCTGATGAAATTCTCAGACATACCAATAATTTGGATAAAATAGCTGATCTGCAGTAATCTTTTTATATCCTTTACTAGACCACCTAATAAAGTTAAAAATAAGAAAGAACAGAAAAGCTTTTGGGCAGACAAGACCTTCATGTTTGAAAACAGACAGAGCAATACTGAAGCTAAATAGCAGAAAAGAACAATTAAGCTGCGTTTAACTTATTTATGTTAATTAATTAGACAATCAAAGAGAAACATTTGTTTGTAGCTGTGCTACAGATGTGGATGATAAAGTCAAGCAATAAATTCAGGCCTTAGAGGCGGCAGGGAGGGAGAACAAGAGAATGATTGCTTTTCAGGAGTTCAGGGACAACTTACATGTAGGGTAAATTATATCCCTAAATCCAGTGTCTCTATTTGGGATGATTTTTAGTCAATAGAATAGTGACTTTAAATTCCAAGCTTTAATAGTAATCTTTTAATTCCTCAATGAAAATCAGGTTTAGGAGGTTCAGTGTTCTTGTATAGATTCTCTCTTCTTTGACAATTACAGAAAACTTTTTTGAAAGAACAGAAAAAGCCCCACTCAGACCTTAAGCACAGCACCCTAGCTGAATATGTGAGAGGAACAAAAAGTTGAATTTAGCAGCCTGTTTACAACGAAGTGGTTGTCTTAGCCCAACTGTTAATGATTTTATGTGTATGCCACTTCATTAGGAGAGTACTGAATGGGCACCAAGGCAGATTTTCTCTGCAATTATGAGGGTGGATTCTATGACTTTAAGTCGATACT